CGTGCGGTATACAAACAAACATGGAACAATACATTTATTAATCTGTGTTAATGTTAGTTAATAAAAAGACAATTACCTAATCGGTGTCTGACTAGGGGCGAGACGTGGGCTGATGACGTCATCGTTTCAGAAAATATATGGATTCGCTGTCCACACGAAAACACAAGGGCGGCGTTTTCAGATTTATCCAATCTCTGGGACCCTTTTTCAAAAAATATCGGTTTCACTCTCCCAAAACGCCGGACCTGTGTGGACGAAACGCCTATACGATACAAAATGTATGCGTATACAGCTAAACGCGTGCGTCTCCGTGTGGATGGGGCCTTAATAATCACTTAATAATCTGTGAGCACCGTGAACCACAGCGCCTTCAAAATAAGTCCCGCCACGAACGCATCGGCCGATGCCGATATTTGTCTACTTCCTCTATGGTGATGGAACATGGTAATATTTACATTATTTACAATGAAATCAAAGGGCAACACACTTTCAAACAAATTATAAAAAAAGACAAGGGCAAATCAATAGCCTTATTAAAAAATAAGAAAAGAAAGGACATTTTCCAACAAGGAGAGAAAAAAAAAAAAAATCACTCTAACCAGATTATAGCAGCTTGTCAACTTTAAAATAGATTCAACATCTCAAATATACCAACTCAACTCTCACTCACTTTCCAGCGTCCTAGGAGCATTTCAAAAGGTGCCGGTCTTCAGGTGAGAAATCAGCATGTGCACCGGAGTACGTCCAATTAGGGGGTCTTAAATTAAAGAAACTCACACAGGTTTGGAACTTGAGAGTGAGTAAATGACTTTAATTGGGCAAGCCGTTCCGGACAGATGACGTAGGACGTATGCGTAGCGCATACGCTAGTGAGAATATGGTCTCGCAAGAACCAACGTTTGTTTACAGGAGCAAAAGAACCAAAGTTTCCTTACTTTAGCAAAGGAAAACCAGTCTCCTCTTGGCTTATGTCGAAATCCTCCAACATTTTTCTTTACACATCCTCGTTTTGTACTTCTAATTCGTGACCAGTGTTTTGTTTTCTCACTGGCACATGTGCTACGCATACGTCCAACGTCATCCGTCCGGAACGGCTTTAACGTACAACAGTTAATGCAAACTAGAGAAAACTGTTTATAGCGTTTTAAATATGGATATTTTTCTTACTAAGACTCATCAGTTCGTTACAGGATGCCTTTATTCACCCCCCAGAGCCATGTGAGGCACGTTTTATTATGGATGGATGCGCTGTATTGGACTTCTTTTGGACTGTTGAACAAAAACACCCACCCACAAAATAAAGCTTGGAAGAGCCAGGACATTTTTTTTATGTAACTCTGGATTCGTCTGAAAGAAAAAAGTCATATACAGGATGTATAGGATGCCTTGAGGGTGAGTAAATTATGGGCTAATTTTCATTTTTGGGTGAACTAACCCTTTAACTGTAAATGTAGTAAACGTAAACATTTTGTTCAGTGTGATGCCTCATGTGAGTATTAAGTTTTCTTTGGATCAGAAACTTTTTCCTCAGTGACGGCATGTGAAAGGCTTCTCTTCACTGTAAATTCTCACGTGAATTTCAAGGTTTGCCCACAGTTTTCAACAGCGATGGCACAATGAATTCTTCACTCCGATACGAGTTATTACATGATTCTTGTCGGTGAAACTCCTTCTGCACTGACAACATAAAATCCTTCTATCGAGTGAATCCTTGTCTGGCTCAAAGGTTTCTCTCCAGTGTGAATTCTCATGTGGCCTTTGAGGGTTCCGTTTTGAGAGAAACTCTTTCCACACTGTTGGCAGGTGTAAGGCTTCTCTCCTGTGTGAATTCTTATGTGCCTTCGAAAAGCTGTTTTTTTACTGAAACTTTTTCCACATTGTGGGCAAGTGTAAGGTTTCTCTCCAGTGTGAATTCTCATGTGGTATTCAAGGTTTCCTTTTAAAGAGAAACTTTTTCCACATTGTTGGCAGGTGTAAGGCTTCTCTCCTGTGTGAATTCTTATGTGGGCATTAAGAGTTTGTTTACGTGTAAAACTCCTTCCACATTGAGTGCATGTGAAAGGCTTCTCTCCAGTGTGAATTCTCATGTGGATTTCAAGGTCTCCTTTTTGAATGAAACTATTTTCACACAGTTTGCAGCTGTAAGGCTTGTCTCCAGTATGAATTCTCATGTGCCTTTGAAAGACTGTTTTTTTAATGAAACGTTTTCCACATTGTTGGCAGGCGTAAGGCTTCTCTCCAGTGTGAATTCTCTTGTGGACTTCAAGGTTTTCTTTTTTACTGAAACTTTTTCCACATTGTTGGCAGGCGTAAGGCTTCTCTCCAGTGTGAATCCTAATATGGACTTTAAGGTTTCCTTTTTTACTGAAACCTCTTCCACAATATTGGCAGGTTAAATGACTTCTAGCTCCTCTCTTTTGAGCTCTTTTGTGTGAAGTTGTTTTAGTCTGTGAGGAACTAAACAAATTCTCTCCAGTTATGAAATCATGATGTTTCTCATACTGAACTTTGTCTTTCGTTTCATTCAGTTCTTGACTCTCCTTTTTCAGCAGCATCAGGTCTAAAGCAAAAAAAGACCAATACAAGTTTTTTTAATGACAAAGCAAGACATCACATTCAGGCATGTAAAGGATCAAAACCAACATGCTGTATACTACCCACTAAGCTACTGAAAGAGGTGTTGCCTGTAATCCTCTATAGCAGGGGTCACCAAACTTGGTCCTGGAGGGCCGGTGTCCTGCAGAGTTTAGATCCAACTTTCCTCAATACACCTGCCTGGAAGTTTCAAGTATACCTAGTGAGACCTTGATTAGCTGATTCAGGTGCGTATAATTAGGGTTGGAGCTAAACTCTGCAGGACACCGGCCCTCCAGGACTGAGTCTGGTGATCCCTGCTCTATAGTGTTAACTGAATGAATGAATGATGCATTTATATAGCGCTTTATTGTGTATTGTTGTACACCCAAAGCGCCTTACAATCATATGAGGGGGTCTCTCCTCAACCACCACCAGAGTGTAGCATCCACCTGGATGATGCGACGGCTCACCACACACCAGCTACAGGTGGAGAGGAGACGGAGTCATAGAGCCAATCAAGTGGTTGGGGATTATTAGGAGGCCATGATTGACAAGGGCCAGTGGTGGCAATTTGGCCAGGACACTGGGGTTATACCCCTACTCTTTAACGTCTCATCCGAAAGACGGTACTTTTTGACAGCAGTGTCCCCTTCACTATACTGGGGCATTAGGACCCACACCGACCATAGGGTGAGCACCCCCTACTGGCCTCACTAACACCTCTTCCAACAGCAACCTAGTTTTCCCAGGAGGTCTCCCATCCAGGTACTAACCAGGCTCAACCCTGCTTAGCTTCAGTGGGCAACCACTATTTGCTTTCTTTAGGAAATGGCCCAAATATTTCTCAAGCTGGCAGTTATCAAACCCGTAATGAAAATGCTCGACTCAGGAGAACTGGTTAATTATAGACGGATCTCAAATTGGCCATTTATGTCTAAAGTGTTAGAAAAATATTGTCCTCTCCATATTTGTGAATAATTTCAGTCAGGATATAAGCCCCATTGTAGTATAGAAACTGTATATATTAGAGCTACTAATCACTGTTTTTTTGTTATATAATCATGGCTACATTGGGGATGGGCGATATCTTATCATTTGCGATATAACGGTAAAAATTCTACCCACGATAAGGATTAGTATTTCCACGATAATAACGATAAAGTCTAGTTGTTGACATTCCGGTGTGCGACAGTGCGGAGTGACATTGCGGAAGGTGGACGTGAAATTCAGGAGGTGTTTATCGATAAATGAGGAGCTCCTTCTACAATCTGGATCTGGTTTTGGTTAAGGTTGTACAGTGCACAAAAAATGGGTCTGAATAAATGTACTACAGTAGCATGTGTGCGATACAGTTTACAAACCTGTTGTCCAACAAAGATATCATTTATTGACATGCTTTTTCTCCAAATTAACTTAACATAGTCGAGTGTTTGAAATAACTTCTTTTTGTGACCAGACATGGTTTCATATTACAAAATGATAGTATTATATAGTGATAAATACTATGTCGATTAGCATTGCATTATAAATACACTTTCCAAATACCCAAGACTGATTGAAGAACACAGATAAACCATATATTTTGTGCAATCGTATGTTTGTTTTCAAGTTTCATCAGATAAATTTCATCAGTAACAAAAGTCCACATTAAGGATTTCATGATTAAATCCTTATATTTCATGGTTACTGTTTCTTAAATATGAACAAATTGTTTATTCAATGTTCCTTTTTTTCCCTCTCTTTCTATGGTCAATTTATGAATGAACGTGGACGTGAATCTGCCACTGTGGAAAATAATAGAATAACGAGAGGTTTTCTTCACGGATTTCAATTTAACATGTGAAGTAAACTGAAGTGTTGAACAGTTTTTTTTCCTTCTCTTTTTGATGACCTTTGTCAAAACAAGATATTATTCCTTGGAACTATTCCTTGGAAACAGCCAACAATAATTAACCCGTTTAATCCCAATTGTTTCCCTGACATGAAAATATCCAAATGATGTGTTATTAGTAACCCTTTGAAATAATCAATAATTCGTTTTTGAAATTTTTTTTGGAAAAGTGGGATAATGTGTGTACGACATTAACATGTTTCTGCAGTCAAAAAATTGTTATATATCGTAGCCCAGCTATTTTAAGCTGTTTGATCACATTCTGTGGTTACTATAAAAAAAAACCTTGTACAACACTGATAGGAATACTGAAATAAGACAAAAAAATACAACCATCAACGCATTTCAAAATTTGTACTTTTTTGTAACATATATCATCACATTTTTATATTAGTTCTACCAGTATTACAACATCAATATTGTAACTTATTTGTAACATTTGAACTTTTAATTTAGTGCAATATTTTGTCATTGCAACATTTTATTTTACTAATAACTGCAATTGGATTCATATGTAAACCTAAATTCAGTTATCCCACCGGTCACTATTGTGACCCAGATGTTTACTCATTCTATGACCACACTCAACAAAACTGAGTAAATCTATATATTAATACTAGTGCTGTCAATCGATTAAAAAAATGAACTGATTAATCACACGTTTTTCTGAAATTAATCAATTAATCGCGATTACGCCCACCTAACATTAAAGTTTTTAAATATTCTTTTATATTGCAATAATTTCATATTCAATTTACAAATTAATGTAGAAACAACAAAGTATATATATTTTTAAATTTGTTTAATGCCATCTTTTTTTATGACTGAAGGCAAGTATCACTGATAACAACTCTCTATGAATTTTTTCCCCAATATTTAACCATTGACTATATTACAGTATAATTGAGAGCTATCAGTTTAACATTTATTAGACTTTAAAAAATAACAACTAATTTAAATGAACTTAAAACAATCTACACATAAACCCATTAAAAGTCATATTTACCTGTGCCCTTCAGCAAACAGAAACTATAATTTAATAAAGTTATCAACACTAAATTCTAAATTAAAAAGAGATAAAGCTTAAAACTACATTAGTTATTGATTTCCTCTTTTATTTTGTTCTTTGATTAACAGTAGCTGGTTATTAGGATATTTTGGCTGCTACTTTAAGAGCTGCCGCTGCTGAACTTGATGCAGATCTGATACTGCTTTAAATGTGACTCATAAATAATAAATACTTACATGCAGTTTTAAAGCATCTTTAATCGCTATTTTTTGTAACTTCGTGACTTGACGATATAACCATGACACTGCATGCTTGTAGTTTCTTTCGTGCTTTGAAATGAAATGATAGACTACAGTGCGCGCTGCCATATTTGTGTGTGCAATTGAAGAGTACATGCTATGCGCCCAGTATAACGGCAGACAGGGGCGGAAAATTTGTTTTTACTGACATATGGCCTGACAGCATCTCATCTGACCAGAGTTCACTGATGTTCTACTGAAGCTTCTCGTCACCTGTAACGTTTCCATTTGATGTGATTGTAAAGATGTTCTGCCTCTGAATAAACGTTTAGCAGTTGTGAGTGGGGTGGCCAAACCTAGCTCCGCCCTTGCGTTAACTGCATTAAATATTTTTAACATGTTAAACTGAAAAAATTAATCACCTGCGTTAACTGCACTAATTTGGACACCACTTAATACTAGACACCACAAATCCCCGTGAAATCAAAATTTAAGTTTTTTAGGTGTTAGTATCAATATGTTAGTCTTAGGGCTGGGCGATAATTCGATAATGATAATTATCACGATATAATTTTCCTCGATAAAACGACATGAAGAGTTCCATAAATGTTCGATATATTGTTTATAAATGCGCCAAAAACGTTTTCTATTTAGATATTTATTTTGTTAAGGAAAATTAATGGTCTGGTTTCTACAACTTTCACTTTGGAGCAAAAATCTGGCTTTAAACTTGAAAGAAATAAAGATTAGACATTTATTGTGATAATTATCGATATCGACTGATATGAAAAAAATTATCGTAATACATTTTTTGGCCATATCGCCCAGCCCTCGTTAGTCTTAAGGGTATCTACAAGCCAGTGTGCTCCAAAACAGTGACAAAATTCGCATTTAGAAGATATAAGCATTCAAAGCTTGCAGTTCGTCACTTCCGCCAAAATGGACCAACGATTTTTTTGACATGACCTAACGACATGAAGAGTTCCATAAATGTTCGATATATTGTTTATAAATGCGCCAAAAACGGAACGAAACAGCGCGACTCATTTGAATTGCGCCACATGGACTGTTTATCCGCGCGGATCAAAGTTCAAACTGCCGCGTGGCGCGAGCTCACTAGAGTAGATGCGTTTACTCGCTCACGCGAACATTAAGCAGCGCTGTGAGATCCAGTGTGAAGTGCTTGAATTCAGCGATGAACACAAATGACTCGGTGAGTTAAACAAGTTTAAAGCCAAACAGGAGAAACACTGTGCAACGAGACAGTCAGAAGGCTTTTCAATCTACAAATCGCCATCATTTACCATGGATTTACTGTAGTAGCACTCACTGCACCAAGGTATTGTGGCAGAAATGTGGGATATTCACACTGAATTTTACTAAAAGAATAATGGTATATAATTGTAGTATGTATTTGTGATTAAGCTATAGCATGTGTGCATTTATACTGAATGTTTTTAGACTACTGTTTTTCATACAAATAGGCTACCTAAAAACCATATAGTTATATTTGTACCATGGTATTGAGGTGCTATATGTGTGGTTTTAACTGTTTTTATCATGATTTAAATGTATGCTACTATGG